AAAAATTGTTATAATTATACATGTTTTGACAACTGGCCTTCTGCGATGGAGAAACTTGGGATAAGTTAGCGCCTGGCGTTGTTCTCGAGATTGTTGCACTGACAGCGGATAACAAAATGGGTATTACAATCAGACTCCATGGAAAGCCCGCACTATCCATTTTGACAATCCTTGCACTGTCTGGTTACTGATCAGATCTTAATCAGTTCTTACAATATATCTTGTGCAGCGAAGTTTTCCTTTTAAGGAAATATCTGAGAAGAGTTTGGATATGTCTACTAGAGTGTTCAGTTTGCTGAAGGAAATTCAAGCATCGGAAATGCTGAAGGCTGTGGTTGTTTCGTGCACGTGTTTGCGGTCCTTCGTTTTCGATCCCTTCCGAGGATTAGTGCAATGCAGTTGAATTTTCTAGCAATACATTGGGTCGCCACTAAAATTATGCATTGAAAATAAATACGAACTTAGGCTACGAGATACCGAGCGGAAATGTTTAGAGCAAAGAACCTACAATCCCTCCTCCCCCCTCCCTACCTTCTTGTAGGCTTCTTCAAGATTTCTAGTTGCTATAAAATCAATCGATATAGCTCAAACACCTAAATGATTTTCATTTTTCTTTTGAAACCGTTATATCGGTAGAGAAAGAATAAGCGCAGCGAAATAATTTTATTTCATGCAATATGTAGGATTCAACTACAAGTACAAACTGAGCTATAAGCTTCTTTAGAAACTCAGGTTGTGCTGTGTCAGCGACAAATGAAGGTCTTTGTTACGTTGAATATCAATTTCAGAGCTGATAATTGGCAGCGGTTAATTTACTCTACAGAGTGTGAAGCAAAATAAGTCGGGACAAACAAATCCTGAAATAGAACGGAAAATGTGCAAACTCACTGCACCAACGTTAAGAGTCATGTAGGCCTATAGCCCCCATTTATCCAATTTTACTTGACAAGGTAAGGGGTCGTTCTGTTCTGCTCGGGTTCGTTCTGTTAAGGCTAAACCGTAGTGCACGCTCATCAGGTTCTTTTTTGCTAATTCTTGCAAAAAAGAACTAATACTAATACTAATGCTAATGCTAATGCTAATGCTAATGCTAATGCTATTGCTAGTGTTAATACCAATGCTTATGCTAATGCTAATGTTAATGCTAATGTTATTGCTAATGCTAATGCTAATGTTAATGTTAATCCTAATGCTAATGCTAATGTTAATGCTAATGCTAATGTTAATGCTAATGTTATTGCTAATGCTAATGCTAATGTTAATGTTAATCCTAATGCTAATGCTAATGCTAATGTTAATGCTAATGCTAATGTTAATGCTAATGTTAATGCTAATGCTAATGCTAATGTTATTGCTAATGCTAATGCTAATGCTAATGTTAATGCTAATGTTAATGTTAATGCTAATGCTAATGCTAATGCTAATGTTAATGTTAATGCTAATTCTAATTCTAATGCTAATGCTTATGCTAATGTTAATGTTAATGCTAATTCTAATTCTAATGCTAATACTAATGCTAATGCTAATGCTAATCCTAATGCTAATTCTAATGTTAATGCTAATGCTAATCCTAATGCTAATTCTAATGCCAATGCTAATTCTAATGCTAATATTAATGCTAATGCTAATGCTAACACTAATGCTAATTCTAATGCCATTGCTAATGCTAATGCTGATGCTAATGCTAATAATACAATACAATAATAATAGAATTAAATCCTACTTGCGAAATCAGACTACTTAAGTTTAGGAACAGCGCAGTTAACTTCCTTTAAGGATTCTCCTTTCAGTATCGTTTAAATATTAAGCGTTGGTTCCGTGGCTGAGGGTAACGTCTTTTAAAGACATACCTTTGATTTCAAGAAACTATCTCACGAGACTGGCGGCTTTTTTGTTTTACAGCTGGACTTCGCCATAGAGGTAAATCGTCATTTTCTCGCAAACAAGTATGGTGACCTATCATTTTTTTCTGTTGTTTTGAATTGAGTAATAAA